GTAAGCATTGCACCAACTAACTGGCGTAAAATTGAAGATGTCCATGGCGTACCACCCCGAAACAGATGGAGCAAGTGAACGCACCAATAAAATGGTAAGCCAATCCCTACGTTTTCACGTTGAAAGAAATCAACTAGGCTGGGCACGCGCTCTTCCCCGCATCCGTTTCGACATGATGAACACGATTAACAAATCTACGGGCTTCACACCTTTCCAACTCCGTATGGGGAGAAGCCCACGTGTTATTCCGCCACTAGTTCCCGCGAAATCCAATGCGACTGTAACAGATGTCGATGCATGGCACATCATTCGACAACTAGAAACGGACGTTTTTGAAGCGCAAGATAATTTATTACACGCTAAGATTTCTCAATCCGTTCAATCTAATAAAAGTCGCTCACTTAAATTCCCTTTCGAAATAGGTAATCGCGTACGTCTCTCAACGTCACATCGTCGCAACGACTATAAGGCGAAAGGCGAAAAACGCGTGGCAAAGTTCATGCCCCGTTATGACGGACCGTACACAATTACCGATGTTGATGAAGAACACTCCACTGTCACCCTCAACTTGCCCAACTCTCCCAACATATTCCCCGTCTTCCACACATCCGAAATCCTCCCATACACAGAATCCGATACAAACCTATTCCCTTCTCGACATTTGGAAGAACCTCCACCCATTCTGACAGAGGACGGCGACGAGGAATACGAAATCGAAAGAATATTGGACGCACACCGACGAGGACGGGGTTACCAATATCTCGTTCGTTGGAAGGGCTACGGTACCGAGGAAGACAAATGGTTACCTGGCTCCGAACTACAGAACTGCGAAGCGCTGGACGTCTGGCTGGAATCGCGGGTGGGATCACCTTTATCATAGGTAGTTTTCACTTTCGACCTTGCCAGCGGTAGCTTTTTCCCTCTGGGTTTTGACGCACCCGCGCTCGGATTTTACTTACGTTTCTACTACTAACATTTTTTTCCTTCTCCCTTTTTCTTTTTCAGAACGGGGGAGAGTGTAATCCTGGGATTACAAATATTTGCGATTGTTTATCGACGGCTTGATAGTTCCCTTCTCATACGCTTTTGCTTCTTCTTCAGAACCATCATCACCCCTTCTTCCCTTTTCCATACCACACATTCCCCTCTCGTTTACTCTCAGAAATATACACCCGGTTAATTTCTGTGAGTGTTCCTAAGCGATCCCTAGTGTTTTCTATCCCCTTCAGGGGATAGTTTTCCAGCATTCCATCTTAAAAAAGAATGGATTCCATCTGAAAGAAGTATGGATTCCATCCCAGAAAGTATGGATTCCATCCCCCCAAAGTATGGAATCCATCAGCTATTCCATGGAATCCATCAGCTGTTCCATGGAATCCATCCCCCAAAGTATGGAATCCATCCCCCCAAAGTATGGAATCCATCAGCTATTCCATGGAATCCATCCCCCAAAGTATGGAATCCATCAGCCATTCCATGGAATCCATCTGGAATTTCTGGAATCCACCCCCCCTTCCATGGATTCCATATGGATTAAGCCGGGGAGGGTAAAGTACAGCTCATGACATGTCCTCGGCTGAAAGATTCAGACACCGGCCGAGTCGCTCGAAGGATAAAAACTTACATCATTATCTTCAATCGCGTCCCAAAGGTGGCTCAAATAAGGTCCTCTTTGCGTCATGAAACTATCCCCATTTTTAAGCCAAACATCGTCTTTGGGCTGTGCCTGTTTTTGGTGGGCTGCTGTGAAATTGCCATCGGCTACAAATCCTCTGGTATACTTCCAGTTAGTAGGATCATTGGGGTTTTTGTTCCAGTCATCAGGAAGGTTGACTCCCGGTTGTGGGCAGGTAGGGCAAAAAAAACCCATCTCCCCCGGCGTCGGAGCCTTACCTTTGTGTCCAAATCCAAAAGTAGCCAGTTCGGTAAGATTACGGTATTGTCTACCAACCCTTATTAACTCGTGATACCGGTTCTGTCAAACGTTTTGAGATGGGAGTATACCTCGGTACTTGAACAACATACCGGAATGGAATTAGGAAATGCAAAGTTGGTGATCCTTCTCAATTTGGAGTAGTAGTGGGTGGCCGATGTTTTACATTCCAGGTTTTCCAGCAGGTAGTCATCGAGGAGTTGGAAGGTAAATACGGTCTGGCAAGACTTGTAGGTGGATGGGTACAACCCAACCTGGAACAACTGTATGTCCTCGGCTGCTGCACCAGAACATCCACAGAAGACGATAGGTAGGTGATGCACACCGGAAGTATGGACTACGGTCATGACCCGGCCACCATTGTAAATACGGTCCGTTGGTTTTGGATCGGCCGAAGTGCTGGTAAGGTCTTCCATGTCAAACCATTCCTCTTCGTCAATGTCAAGGTCAGCACTCAAGTTGCTGCTTCCATTCGGGCACCGATCACCTTTGTGACCAAGTCGAATAACCAAACCCACTTTCCACAGCCAGCTCGGCTCATAAAAGGTGCCAGTCCAATGTTCAATCCGGTGGAAAGGGTCCCTGCAGTGGGATGTTCGGCAACATTCTGCACAATATGCCGTGCCAGCAAAGCAATCGAGACATCGCCAATTTGCCTCCTTCTTGCAAGAGATACAAACCCGCTTTGACGCTTTCCTATCCAAAAATTCGTGGAGGTATAGATTACGCTTAGTCTCTTTCCAAACCCTCATGTAATCATTGGATGACTGATAGTGTATTAGCGTTCAGTATATGAATATATTGGAAGAGGAATTTCACATTTCTGTAAGGTTGATGATCCTCGAGAGGAGGAGCATATTCAACGTATGGCAAATCTTGGTGTTCCCTTTCAATGTCTCTTTCCAGATGGCTGCAGTTACGTTTTTTCACGGGGGAAAATGGCAGAGAGGGAATAGTGGAGGAGGGAAAAGACCTCCTTCCATTTTTGATAACAAGCCTGTTGAAGTGAGGATTAGCGATGTTGCTGTGTGCTTTTCTTCCCATGTTTGTCTACTGTTGAAATGGCCAAAGGATATAATGATGATGTGTAGTGGGAACGAGGAAAATGTGGGCGTAGCGGGAAAGAGGAAAATGTGGCCGTCGAATAGCAAACGCAAACATTCATAACAGATTTGCATTTCCAGCTACGTAAAATAAAAAGTTGGCAGTAAGACTGGGATGAGCACACACCCAAGCCATAAAAGCCAGCCAGCAGGACTGGATAATAGTCAATTAGAAACACAATCTCATATTTCATACACTTCGCATACTCTTTAACGGTGGCTTCTTGTGAACTTTTAATTTTTATCACCTTCAATATGACTGCAAAATATCAAGATCTGTATGTCGCTGACAGCCTCATCATACATTGGTATAAAGGTAGCTTCAATATATACCACCATAACTGCGTTACCAGTTTAGTTACTTAGATGGACCGACGATAATTACAGACAGACATAATTACAGAGGAAGCTAATTAAGGTTTTGTCCTGTGATGCGATCATAACTGTTCCGCTATTTAAGCTATTTAAGGTTATTAAGGTCTGTTCTTTTCCGTTTCGTGTTCGATCTTCCGTGCCGATCAGTTATGTATATTTTTGATAGATGATATATAAAGTAATTCCCTTTCCCGAATCAGGGGTGATTGTTTGTTCATTGTATTTGGCATGAGTTGTTCTCCCTCTCTGCTCCCGACTACCATTTTCCATCTACCTCTTTGCTCCCAAATACCATTAATTATATCATTATGAGTACTCATTCTCAATCCCCTGAACCATCTGCCCCACTTTCCAGTCAAACCAAGCACCATGGGTCCGGGAGGCATTGGACCAATGAAGAAAGTGCTCTATTGGAAAAACATCGGGAGGAGTACAGAGACGCCAACGACACTGCTCGTGCTGAGATATTTTCTTGAGTTTTGCAAGACATGCTCAACATACTCCCCAATGGAAAATCATTCAAGAAGGAAGAAAGATCAGCTGTTAAAAAAGTAAGTACTTTTTCCAGAGGCCCTCTAATTGATTCCTGACGGACTTGTAGGATATTAAAGAGTGGTTTGCCCAGTACAGTCGTAAGAGAAGTCAGAAAATGCCAAGGATGGGAAAGTCGTGGCACGCCCGGCGTGTGTTCCAGCATGAGAACAAGGACGCCATCGATACCGAAGCGAAAAGGCTTTGTGCCGAAGCCATTGAAGAGGGACAAAAGAGGCCTAAAGGGGGAGATCCCACTCATTTTGATTTTCGGGAGCGGGTCGTGACTCAAATGATGGGAAAACTGAAGAAAAGGGAGAAAGACGTACTGCAGAGGACGGCCGAGGAGTACAACAAGAAGGGAGTTGACCCGGAACTCAAGTCCAAGTAAGTTAATTTTCATTATTCTAACGTTGGCTTATCTGGACCTTTGGTAGACTGGCTGTAAAGAACTGCATGGCTCGGATGCATGCATTTTCCAAGGAACTTTATGACACAATGGGTGTCCGGGTCTTTATCTTAGGATGTTATCTGAAGCCCGATGGTAATTTGGACGTCTCGACGTACGACTTCAATCAAGAACTCGGCAATGGGAAAGACTTTATTGATAACCATAGCCGGACTTTCCATGAGGAAGGAATATCGGTATCTTCTTGGAGAGCACACAATGAAGAATACTATGGGTTGGAGGATCTTGCTTCGGCCAAAGGAGGACACCAATCCCGGGGTGCTATGACTTTGGAGAAGAACCTATACCTGGAACCTATTCTACCCGATCCATCGAAANC